ATGCCTCTGTCTCGTCTCCCTGCCCCCCATGCGCCCTCCAACGGGTGGTCCAGTGGCCCCGACATTGTCACAGGCGAAGCGCCGGCCACCAGCCCACCCATCCCGCTGCGTCGTGGGTGCTGCCCTCACCCCTCCCCGCCGGGTCCCTCCCACGTTTCCCTCCTGCTCCTGCTCATCCGAGTCCGGTTCACCCCTCGACCCCGGGGCCGAAGCCGTGCGGGAGCTCGGGGACCGGCCTGGGTCGGCTTCGTGTGTCGATTCAGGACACTTGGAAATTCCTGCAATTGCAAAACTGCTTTCTGCAGTAAAACGATCTCGTGACGCCTTTCAGCTGTTCCTGCGGGCGAGCTGGCCGCAGCCCCGAGCAGGAGAGAGGTCACAGAGGACAGCGCGTGAGCCGCCAGCCTCCCGGGCCGTGACCGCGCGAGCCGGAGCCGCTTCTGCTGCCCGCGGCGTCTGCAACGAGGAAGCGGGTGCTCTCGCCGGCAGAGTCCTAAAGACATGCAGTCGGAGCCGGCTCCCCCACCTGTCCGTGGCTGCAGTCGGGCTGCAAAAGACTCGCAGAACCCGGCAGAGGGGGAGAGGGGGACCGGCCAGCCCCGAACAAATGCGAAACCCAGCAATGAACAGCGCCAGCGCCTGAGCCCGAGGCCGCAGTGGCCCGTGCGGCAGGGGTGCGGAGAGCCGGCCCCACGGCCGCCAGAGGACCGGGCTCGCCTCTGCCAGGGGAAGCGTGTCCCGCTCTGCCACACGCGCGGCCCTGTCGGCTTCTCCGAGGCTTCGACCGACCAGCCTGGGTGCGTCTGCGTCTCCACAAGTGGCCGTCCTGGTGTCTGCCGGACGTTTGGGGCAAATACGTCCTGGGCCGCCAGGACATCGCCCCGCAGAGACGGACAGCAGGCACATTTCGCCCTCTGCTGCAGGCAGAGCTGTGGTTGGCTGTGGTCCAGACACACCACCCGGCAGGGCGGGGGCCCGGTCAGAGGTGCCGCCGGGCCGCGGGGAGCCCACGCGCAGATCCGCACCGCGCTGCCCCGGTGGGGGCGGGGCCTGGACTCGCCGCCCCGCTGCCTGCAGCTGTGTGCGCGTTAGATTTTCGTCTTTTTAATCAGTGACTTTAATCAGGGCATCGTGGCTGGATGCCGACGGGACAGTAAGGATGGTGAAAGATGCCACCAGTGTGTTCGTCGGCTGGGGCGCTGTGACCGGGGCTCTCAAGGCCTGGAGGCCGGAAGTCCAAGATCGAGCTGGGGGCAGGCAGGTCGCCCCTGGGGCCTCTCCCCGGGGCGTACGGTCGGCGCCCTCTCCCGTGTCCCCACGTGGCCGCCCCCCACCCCTCGTGCCTGTCCTCTTCCTCCAGGGACCCCAGCAGACTGGACCTCACGTAACTCGATCCCCCTTTAAATCCCATTTCTGACCTGCTAGGGTTAGGACTTCCACAAAGTTGGGGGGACGCCATTTAACCCGTGACGCCTGGGGTAACGAGAACTAGACCCACGCTCCACTCACAGCGAAGGGGTCGCCGCCTGTGAGGGCGGAGGGGTCGTCAGCCTCACCTGGACACAGGTGTGCGTGCTGCCCTGCCGAGGTCGGAGACCGCGGTCCGGTCCCGGTAACGTGCGAGTGAGACTCTGACACCGGACGGACGGCTACGAATTGGAATTTACCGTTGGAGACGAAACACGTACGCAGAAGACAGCGTGAAGCACAGAGCTCCATTCCTGGCCGTCGCGAAGGCGTAAAACAGAGAATGACTAAGTCAGATGCAACGCAGTCCGCGGGGGGCGGGGGGGCGGTGAGCGAGACAGCAGGAAACGTCTCCTTGCTTTAATGATTAATCAGAACCTCAAAGGACTTGATTTTCCTAGATCTTTTATGGGCATTTCATGCAAAACAGCTATTTACCGCCAGTGATGAGTCGACACATGCCAGGGGGGAGAACACTGCATCTTCTTACTTAGCACAGCATTGTGTGTCTGACTCATTCCTCGGGGAGCAAACAAGATTTGCTTTGGGAAAAGGAGAGGAAGTTTATAGGCCCCAGCGATGGAGAAACGCCGCTCGCCTTCGCCCCATCCGCCCGGCATGGGGCGTCCTCCGCCCACGTGCCAGCTGCGGCTGTGGACACTAACTTTGACCTGTGGCTTGTTTTTTTTTTGAACACTGAGATTTTCATGAAGACATAGATTACATTTTGGAAATGCTCTTGACCAATTTTTCTATCGATATCATTCCAAGAATTATTAGGGTTTTTTTTTTCTCTCTCATTTGGGATCAAAATATATACACTGAAGAGAAGCAGGTAATTTGAACAGGTTCTGAAACACATCATTACAAACGTGAAGATGCGCAGTGAGAGCCCGCGTCGCTTGGTGGATGGGACCGGACACTGTTGACCTTTCTTCTTCATTATCGATCACGGCCACCGCTCGCGCGTTCCCCCAGGCGCCGGGCCATGCTGAGGACGGATGTTGTTTCGGTTTTAAGTGAGGACCCGACAGGCTGCCTTCCCTGCAGAGGTTCACCAGCCGACAGTGGTCAAGGCGAGGTTAGAACCCAGGGTGCTGAGCTAAAGTTGGCACATCGAGCGCGAAGCCCACCGCCCGGGTTAGGCGTCTCAGCGCAAGGGGCTTAGGTGCTTCTGGAGGGAAGACGAAGCCTTCGAAACGAGCTCAGCTCTGCAGAGAGGCCTTGGCCTCCAGGGAGGGGGTGACGCTGAGCTCAAGACTGTCGAATACCTTCTCTCGCGGGTCAGCCAGGAGACAGACACTCAGACCCGCATCTGTGAAGCACAGAGCCAGCACGAGGACACGAACCGAAGAGCTGTTTAACTAGAAAGTGTGTAAAGCGCCCGGAGCAGGAGGCAGCTAATGCGCCACCTTCAACCCAGGAGGAGTGTCAGAGAGAGCAGGGCCACTAACCAGCCACCGACGGACGGTGCCCCACGGCGATGGTGGCGGCGAACGAAGGATTTCGGTTAATCCATGAGCCGGTTCTCTGCACCAGCTGTTCAAACAATAAAGAGGGAGAGGGAGAGAGAGAGAGAGAGGGAGAAGGAGAGGGGGAGAGAGAGAGAGAGAGAGAGAGAGAGAGAGAGGGAGGAGGAGAGAGGGAGAGAGTTTGCAGGTTTCTGAAACAAAAGTCGATTCTGAAGCCAGATTCAACTTCTCACTTTCAGATGGAGGTCGCGTCACAGCAGCGGACATGGCCATGAGGATCGGAAGGAGCAGTTGTTCAGGCCGCGTTGACTCAGGCCGAGGGCCAAGCAGGTTCTGATGAGCAGACAATGGTGAGGGGTGTTTATGACAAAGGGGGGGCAGTTCCCCCCGCAGAAGGGAGGCAGCGGGGCACAGCACAGCGACGCTGGTTCTAAACGTCTTCATTTTCGGCCCCGCGGCCGTCGGTCGGTGGGCGTCATCTCTGCTTCCTCGTCACCTTTGCACACGGCCCTCTGGGGCCAGGGGTGCGGAGGCCCTGCCCACAGGTCCCTTCGTCCCATCTGAGCGGTCCCAGGCGTGAGGTGCCGGACACGGGCACCCTCTGGCCGCAGCCCTGGAGCTCCGGCCACGCGGTTCGCGGCGTCCCGTTCAGGTCCCCTCTGGGTCAGGTCATCGGTCACTGAGGTTCTGACCAGCCCAGCATTGACACGTCACTGTGAGATTTTCTTGGACTTCTGTTTACTGAAGATTTGAGTTTTGAAGAGTTCAGTGTAATTATTCAGGTTTAGCTGTGGTTCAAGAATTAATGGTTACAGTTTCTTTCAAAATGTCATTTCATTTATCATTGAAAACAAGGTTAGAGCTGGTCAACCTCTGACCTCACAGACAGAACGGAAATAATACGCAGCCGGAAGGAACGCGTATCACGCACGTGTTGCTGGGGAAGGCGCGGTGACGGACGTGGCGCCGGCTCTGGAGTGAGGAGCATCCGGCGTCCAAACGCTGCCGCGGACTCACGGGCTCCGCCCCGAGTGACGGGCCTGCCCCTCCCCGCACAGGGGCTGTGCCGGACGCGGGGGGCGGCCCCGCAAATCCCACCGTTTCAGACAAACACTAAGGGCGACAACAAAACGAGAAGCCGACGACAGCGGCTTCCCCTTCCTCGCAGAGGCGCCAGGGCACGCCATTCGGGGAGAGGGCACGCGACGCAAGCGCCTGTCACTGCACTTGCTGTTTTAACCCGGCGGTCGGCCCGGGAGGGACTGTCACGCCGCCTGATTGGACACATGGCGGCGCCGCGTCGCATCTGGAAGAGGTCGAGTGAGAACTATTTTATTTTCTCGGAAGGAAATCACTCTGCCTAAGTTACTGCGCGGGCTGACATTTCTGAGGCTGGTGACAGTCCAGGAGGGACCATTTCCATTCCAAGAGTAAAGATTATTCACGTGGGAGTTAATCATTAGAAGGCAGGTTGTTGTCGTCATTTAAATGTCATTCGCGAGGATAGCAGACAAATAAAGCTGTTGCTTAAAAATTAGCCGAAGTCTGCCTCTCAGATTCTGTCCTCGGCGAGCCGCTCGGCGTAGCCCAGCCCGGGGGCCACGCGAGGACCGTTCCCGGTCTCGGGACCGGCTGCGCGTCAGCCGGACTGTGCGCTCCCCGCGCACGTGCCACGGCCCAGGTGGCCGGTCTGGACCAGGCGACCACGGGGCGGGCTCAGGCCAGGCCTGTCCAGGTTCGGCTGGAGAGAACAGGACGGGACGCGGGGGGCTTGAGCCCGCACTGCCTTTCGCACTCTGAGAAGTGGGGGTTCGATTCTCCAGGGGCTTCTCAGAACTTTTCATGGAAGCACGTCCAGGAAGCGGGGTGTGACCGGCGCCGCTGAGCATGGGGAGGTGCGTTCTGGGCAGAAGCGCCCGCACCCCTTGCTTCCCTGAGTGTAAAGCTCGTTATGACACAGCTGCCAGCTGAGGCTGCTGGGCCTCCCTCCGGGTCGTTCAGTGACCGGGAGGCAGCTGACTGGAGGGAACGGGGAGCAGGCTGAGCTCCCGGGTGGGGCTGCGCTTAATGGGGGCGAAGGCCGGTGAGAGACTCAGACACAGGGTGCCCGGAAGACGAGGGAGGGGCCGTCGGGAGATGGAGAGGGCGCAGGACGAGGAGGGTGGCTGGGCTGGGCGCGGGGTGCCCTTGGAGCGGGCGGGCTGCCGTTCCTGAGGAATGATTCGGAGGGTTTCAATGGCCCGTGGGGGACATGGAGACAGGTCGGCCCCTCCCCGGGCGTCTGCAGGTGCGGAGGGGACAGGGAGGAGCGGGAGGGAGGAGCTCGTGGGAGAGGGAAGTGCTGACAAAGGCCGCGTGCGGGGTGAGTTCGAGAGCCAGCTGCGTTTTCCTGGTCGCAGTGCACGGCTGGGAACGGGGAGCAGCGGTCACCTGCGACAGTTTCATTAAACGCTGCGCGCTTGGGAAAAGCTCTGGCAAGACACAGCGGGGTGGGCAGCCATTCGCAGGCTGGTCTCCACCCTTCCCTGTGGCCCTGCTGGACCATGCAGCTCTCCTTCAGGCTCGAGAAAGCTAGGGACAGGGGTAAGTCACCGGCCACAGGCCGAGAGTTTCCAGGGCAAGTGGTCTGACCTTGAGCCGTGAGTGGTCTGACCTCGAGCCACGAGTGGTCTGACCTTAAGGCGCCAGTGATCCGACCTTGCGGCGTCAGTAGTCTGAGCTTGAGGCCGGTGCTTGTAACATCCTTGGAAAACTGGAGAAGGTGTCGCTCACTGACCTGCATGTCCCTCCCCCAGGCAGGTCATGGGCCCGCAGAGGCCGAGACAGCACGCGCCTCCTGCAGGAGCACCCCCGAGGGCCTGCGGGGGGACAGAGCCTGCGCCCTGCGTCCTGGTGGCACGGGCGAGCTGGGCAGCAGGCCGGGCAGGACAGCAGGCCAGGCCTCCTGGTGGAGCCCTGGGCGACAGGAAGGAGCGTAAGGCAGACGGCGAGAAGCGCGTGGCCGGCGAGTCGGCCTGGTCCGCACTCTGGTCCGCGCCAGCGTTTGCTGTCACTCTGCTTTCGGTCTGCGTTTCAGCGGAGCCAACTGAGTGACCAGCAGACCTCACGGCCGGGGTTTTCTCCCCTGCCGGGCAGATGGGCCTTGCGGGGCCATTCCCGGGGGCAGCAGGCTCCGGGCTGCAGGTGCGGCCACTGTCAGGCGGGCGCGGCCCCCTCGGGGCCTTCCGTGCTCCCCGCTCCACACCCCGCCCGCCCGGAGGGCCGCCGCCTGTCTGGGCCCTGGAGCGTTCGGTCGATTCCGGCCGCGGTGTCACCCTCCCTGACACTGAAGCCCCTCGGTTGTGGGCAGGGCTTGGTGGGTGGGGGTCCAGCCCTCACCTGGCATGGGACAGTGATTCGGATAAACGGGCCCGGTGAGGGCGAGGACGCATACCCGGTGACCCACGAGATGCCGTGAGCTTCGAAGGACTGTTTCTCATGCAGATGGAAAAGCAAAGACGTTTCGCAATCTACATGCTCAGATGCAAAGAAAAATAAACAGATTTACTGGCAGTTAGTGGCGTAATTGGCTTGTGGAGGTCACAGCGTGTACAAAGTCTAATCGTTTTGTTCCTTTGAATTTTGGGTTAAAAATGCAATTTGTTTCTTTTAGGGACTTCTAGGGGTTTTCCAAGGCCAAAGCCGTTTAAGAGCCAACAATCATATGGCAGGCACCCCGCTCTCTCTTTATGACCCGTAAAAGTCATTTAATAAAACTGAGGGGCAGACTTGGGAATATAAGAACATCAGCTGCTTAAATGAATATGTGTTTTCTA